ATACTGCAGCAGCCTTATAAATGTTCATTGAGCACTGATTTCTTCAGGTTGGATGATAATGCTCTGAGTGAGGAATCTCTCTCAACTGATATAAATAGGCAGCTCACCTTCAAAGTCTTAGAAAATTGCCTGGGTGGGGCAAGTAGATGGTGAAATGAATAGAGCACTGGCACTGAAATCCTGGACCTGAGTTCAAATATGGCCTCAGACACTTGACATTTATTAGCTGTGTGACCCTGGACAAGTCACTTAACCCCACTGCCTAGCCCCCCCAAAAAATTTCCTGTGGCACCAAGAAGTTTTGAGGTCAGTCAGTCAACAAGCACTTACTGAGTTTCACCTGTGTGCCCAGCACTGCTCTAAGCGTTGGGGATACAAAGAAAGGCAAAAAACAATCCTGTTTTAAAAGAAGGTACTTTCTTTAAAAAAATAATTTACTTTGAATTACCAACAATCACTTCTATAAGCTTTTGAGTTTTAAAATTTTCTCCCCCTCCCTCCTCACCTCTCTCCCTAAGATGGTGCACAATCTGATATAGGTTATACATATACATTCCTATTAAACATATTTTCACATTAGTGATGTTAAGGAAGATACTTTTTAATGGGGGAGACAACAAATAAATAAGTAGGTTTATACAAGATATAGAGCGCAGTAGGAAAGGCAGTCTGAAAGGGGAAGGCTGTAGCAGATGTAGTAGTTCAGTCAGTAAACATCAGAAGCAGGACACGAAGCCAGGTCTTCCTGACTCCTGAGGCTAGCCTTCTATGCATTATGCCAAAGGAGCCTCTCAAAGTGCTATATAAATATTTACTATTAATTATTGTTATGAAGTATGACTTGGTGGATAAGCAGCACACTTAAAACCTAATGAGTTCCAAGTCTGCCTCTGCTGAAGTTCTTGGCCATATTCCTCAAGCTTACCTGAGCTCTGGTTTAGGAAGCCAGAAAGGGGATTGGTGGCATGGCACTCGCCAGGACACCCAGGACCATCTTCTTAGGGGCTTTTGTTAAATAAGTGGAAAACATTCTTACTTCACTTTAGCTGATGTGATGGCAAATTGAATTTTAGCACCTGATGGCTTAAAACAAAACAAAACAAAACAAAACCAACAAAACAAAACAATAGCTCTAAAGGGTTAGGGACAGGAAGGATGACTGAATGAGTCAAGATACAGTGGCCAAGTAGCCCAAGAAGGGAGCTAAAGCCTGGGAGTTCAGATGAAAAACACAGTGATTGGAAGTACAGAGACAGACGTATTCAATAAAGGAAAATGTAATTAAAGTATCTGCTTCTGCGGTAATTATCATACATAAACGGAAGGCTCAGAAAGCCTTTGCATTTTTTTAAAAGCATACTGTGCACCTCAAGGGTTGGATTTTTCCTCTGCAACAGATTATTTTAAATGATCTCAGGTTGCATTTTGGAAAGTTGTTAAAACTTCCTCACACAGAAGACATATGCAAAAGTTTAGGAAACATTTCTTTGGTAACATACCAATAAGTTAAAATGACTAAGCAAATTCCAGCAAATTGCATTGTTTGTAAGTTATAAAATTATCCCATAATCCTTTTAAAGTCCACATCAAGTTGCTGTGCTCAGAAGGAGTTAATCCTCGGGACATTACAGTCTGTAATAACTGGAAGTGATTGGCCAAAGTGCCGTAAACCTGGCGGAAATTTGTTGCATTGTTTTCCATAAACCACAACCAGAGCTCATTAATTGAAAAATGAATGTCAACTGGCATTAGCTGGCATCCGTAAACCAAAAGGCACAATGACCCTGGCATGTGATGGGTTGTAAAAACATCAGCAAAATGGTAACAGGTAAAAGAAGTGGGGGGAGGAAAGGAAAGGGGAAAAATGTGAATTCAAAACCATCTTAGAACTTACTGGCAAAATTCCAAGTATGGAGCTTTAATGAGGCTTCTGCATCAAAATAAATGAAACCACATGGAATTTTAATTATTACTACAGTATTTTAAATACAAACACACAAGAGGAGTATTCTCTGCTTTAAACAGTCTATCTTGTGTGAACTCTGTGGCCCAGTGGGGAAGACATTGACACTATGAATGTGACTTCATTTCTCTTTTAAATTGCTAAGGCTATTCAGGCTTCTTTTACATGATCTAAGCATTGAACTTGATGTATGCAGAAGGAGTCTGCCTAAAACTTTAGGCTGAGCCAGCTACAAGTTCAGTTCACCTACATACTTTGAGACAAAAATGTTTTGGCTTAACAGCAACTGTGGTTTACATTCATTGCCTGTGTTGTGCAACCTTATACATAAGCGTGGGGGTAGAAGGGGGTGGTGGGGATGCATGAACAAAATCCTCTTCATCTCCCCTACACTCCCATGTCTGCCTCTGGGCGTCAGTTGAACATCTTGAGCAAGTCACCCCAGGAACATTCCCTACTTTCCCTCCAACTTTTAACCTCCCTTTTTCATGGTGCTGTGTGTTAAAGGAAGGGGCACATGTAGGACCAACAGAGTGAGGGAATCTGAAGTCAGCTCACGGGATTTAGCTGAGCCAGAACTGGTTTGTCATCCTGAAGGTATTTGCTTCTGGTTGCAGAAGCAGCCTGCCATTTTTTTTCCTTGGCCTGTGGGCCTATAGTTTTGCTTAGAGTGGGTAGTGAGGGTGGGAAAGTGTGGGTACTTCTCTCACTGTGGCCAATTCTGCCCTCCTGTCTTTGAACTTTGGAGCTCTGATGCTTTTGATTTCTGCCTGTGACCCTCAATAGGGAGGGGCAGACTGCTGAGTTAATTAATTAATTAACTGACTCTGCTAGTCTATGTGATTTGCTTAACATGAGAGAAAGGCAGGTTAGCACATACTGTTTTTGATGGCTATCTTCACAAGTCCAGATTCAGGTTGTAGAGCATGATACTGCCATTTTGTGATATAAGCCAATCCTCTTTAAACAAATTCAATCCAATCTAACAAATGTTTATTAAGCAAATAGTAGCTGCCCTCAATGAGCTTTTGTTGTTGTTCAGTTGTGTCCAACTCTTTATGACCCCCCCTCCCCCAATATCGTGTCACAAAGATACTAGAGTGGTTTGCCATTTTCTTCTCCAGTTCATTTTACAGATGAGGAATTGAGGCAAACAGGGTTAAGTGATTTGCCCAGGGTCACACAGCTAGTAAATGTCTGAGGCCCGATGACTTCAGGCATGGCACTTTATCTACTACTCCACCTCTATGCCCATACTTGACCCTAAAGCAGTACTCTATAAGCATCCTGATCCCCATAATAAGAAATTCTCAGGGTATCCTAGAAGGACAGTGAAATTAAAAAAAAAAAGTCAGTGAGGGGTAAATTCTTGCTTGTCAATGCCTTTAAAAATTAATAAAGACTTTTCCAGGTCCTTAAAAACAGTAGAGCAGGACAACATGGGGCTAAATAAAGAGTTGGAAACAATTGACCCTTTAGTTAAAGCACTTGTAATTTAAGAGGACTTATTTCAGTTCTTTTAAATTTGGAGGACTGGAGTTAACTGTACAAGTAAGAATAAACATGCATTTTTAAAGATTATTATTAGGGATTTTTAGTGTGATTTTTAGCCAATCCCAAAGGTTAATTTCTTAATGAAATGACCTAAAACTTTGATTTCCTCTGTTAGGTACCAGTGTTGCCTACTGAGTCATAGATTTAGAAGTCAGAGGACGTTAAATTTTTGAGAGAAACTTGTGCCTCCAGCTTATGGGCACAAACTTAATCCAGATCCCCAGTTAACATGAAGTGAAGCTATTTCTGCAGGGTGGAATTTGACTTGTCTCTTAGATGAGGTGTCAGTTGGGTACTTTGCTTCTTCATCTGTCACCTATTACAGCACAAAAGCCATTGTTACAGCTGGCACAAGTCAGGCCCCCTCTCACAGACCAAAGGCCTGAAATTCTGTAAAATCAATGGCACTCAGCTCTTCACCCTCCACGTTGATCTATCCAATTTATTATGGGAATTTCTCGGTGGAAGTTCTGAGAAGGATCCCTGACGTCCCCATTGGGTATACATTCCCTTGAATCACAGAATATGAACGTTAGAAGGAACTATAGCAGTAATTAAATTCATCTCCCTCATTTTACAGGTGAGGAATCTGAGGCCTAAAGAGAAGAAGTTATTTGCCTGAGGTCCCCATACAAAAACAATAACAATCATAATAATAGCTGACATTTTTTACAATGCTTTAAAATTTGCAAAGTACTTTACATAAACCATCTCATTTGTTGATTGTTATTTTGCTTCTTCATGAACTCTTCATGAACACCCATTTTAGAGATGAGGAAACTGAGTCTCAGGGAGGTTAAATGAATTGCCATGATAACCCAAGGTAGTAAGTGCCTAAGGCAAGATTTCAACCCAGGTCTTTTCTGACTCTTAAGATTGTACTGTGCCATGATAAATAAGAAAGTCTATGAGTTTATTGAGATCCAGTACAATTTTTATTTAGCATTACATTTACTTTAAAATGAGAAGAATAACTTAAAAAAAAACTACTGAGTGTTGACTAAGGATAACAGGATCATATTGGGAAATTTCATTTCAGCATGGTTCAGTTTGGAGGCTCTGCTGAATATTCATCCTTAATAGCAAAATGACAACTGTTGGACCTATTCATTCATTTCTGCACTGTACTGTAGGAGATGATACACTTTTTAACTGTTTCTTGAGTTCTGCAAAACTCTGAAATGCAACCAGAAAGAGGAGGGTGAAGAAAACCCAGGATACCATGTTAGATGTTTGCCCTTGTGACACAGCTTATGGATTTTTGGTTGTTGTTCTGAAAGTGCTTTGGGTTTCTTTGGGAGATGAAAAGAGCTTATTGATAAATGCTGTAAGATTGAAAACTGACCTATCCTTTTGAAGATGTATTTGTGAATCATGCTTCCTTTTGGGGGAAACTATAGTTTATATCGTTCTTTTTTTTCTTAAAGAATTATTTTAATTGATATTTACAGATTTTTCCCCCATCTTTTGTTATAATTTTTAGGTGCTTCAGAACTGGGCCCCTTTTCAGACCCCAGGCAGTTCACAAGTATTTCATCCCTCACTGAGAGCCGCTTCTCCAACCCACGAATGCACTATCCAGCCACGTTCACTTACACACCGCCCGTCACCTCAGGCATGTCCCTCGGTATGTCAGCAACCACTCACTACCACACCTACTTGCCACCACCCTACCCCGGCTCCTCCCAAAACCAAAGTGGACCCTTCCAGACCAGCAGCACTCCATATCTCTACTATGGCACTTCATCAGGATCATACCAGTTTCCCATGGTGCCGGGGGGAGACCGCTCTCCTTCCAGAATGCTTCCGCCATGCACCACCACCTCGAATGGCAGCACGCTAATAAACCCCAACTTGCCCAACCAGAATGATGGTGTTGACGCTGATGGAAGCCACAGCAGTTCTCCAACTGTTTTGAATTCTAGTGGCAGAATGGATGAGTCTGTTTGGAGGCCCTATTGAAATTTCTCCAGCAGTGGCCCAAGCACCTGCGAGCCCCGCCCCCAACAACAACAAAAAACCAAAATACAAAAACAAAACCATATATATACATACATATGTGCACATGCATACATGCTTGTGGCACACAGATACATGTGTGCATGTATTTATTGTACATAAACACATGTAGTGTATATGTGCACATATACACTATATATGTTGTGCCCATACACACATGCATGCAGGTATACATAGTGCATATGCACATATATGTATGCATATGTGTGTGGGTATCTATATAATACACATATGTGTATATTTATATGTATGTATGTGTGTATATACACATGTATATGTGTGTGTATATATATGCTATCTACAAAGTGCCTGTAAGTCATGTTGTTTATCATTGTTACAAGGATACATAATACCAGGAGGAAAAAGGCCAAGCAGTGTCCTCCATAGCTGAGTTTCAGATTATGTGAATCCTAGCACATTCTTTGCTTTTAAAACAGCTACCCTATTTTCTTTCTATTTAAAAATGTACTTTTGCATACCAACAAACAAAAAAGGTGGTTGTTGGGTTGTTTTTTTTTTTTGGTTGCTGTCACTTGGACTGTCATGAATCATTTGTTCTTGTGCCAATTCAGAGAGGTGGACTCCAGGTATTAGGAGGAAAAAAGCAATGCAGCTCCCTCAGTGTGCTTGAAACTTCACAAACCCTCCATATATGGTGAAGGCCATATGAGGTATTGGACCAGTGGATCCGGCCAGTGCATTTTCCAGTCCAGCTTACGAAGCTGGTATAGATGCACGTAAAGGAATTAGGTAGAATGAGAGCTTCCATTCAACTCTAGGCTATTCCTAATAGATGTTGCAAACTTCTCTTTAACTTGCTGAAAATAAACAATTGAATTTTTTTTTTGGTTCACATTTTTTTTCTACATCAAAAAAAATTACTCTTTGTGGTACTAATTGGAATAAGTAATCTTAGTGGGGTTTTTTGGCCTTTTTCCGATTAACCAAAAAGAACCCCCCATGCTTAAAATCAAACCCTTTGTTTTTTATGAAAAAAAAAAATGAAAATGGCAATACCTTCTTATAGCCATAAGGGTATAGATAGTGTTTGTGTTTGGCTGTGTGTTGTTATTTGTTTTCTTTTTCTTTTTTTTTTTTAAATTATGAATATGTGTAAAATCTGAGGTTTCTTGCTGACGTGAATGGTCATATAACTTTAAAGAAATATTTATAATTATTTAATGACATTTGGACCCTTTAAACATTTCTTAGTGTATTGCTATGTTGACTTCGGTCTCTAAAAGTGCTTTTTATTAAATAACAAAATTTCTTCAGTGGGCTATAGCCATACCTAAAACATTGCTAAGCAATTTCAGTTTGCCCAGGAGTAATGTGACTTTTAAAATGCTTTCATCCCCAAGTATTTTGGATGTAGCATGTTTTTGTGATGTATGAAGGAAGTGTTGTGTTTAATTCAATTAGATCTTTGGTTACCTTCAACACAGTTTGCCTTTTTAAGCAATAAAGATTAGGGAGTGAAAAAACAACCTTTTAGCTTTATCACTTATGTCACCCTTCATCAGCATGAAATGCTGGAGTGATGTGGTTTCTTAACTTCTTTCAACTGGAAATGATTCTTGTCACATTAAAGAGACAAGCACAAGTAAATCATTGAACTGCAGGGAAAAAAAAATGTTCTGTGGTTTCAGAGTTCAGCAAAACTCCAATCTCCAGGCTTCACAGTGAAGATGCAAGTCACCTTAAAGCCACATACGTGGATAAAAGCCTCTATCAGAACACACAACAATCCAGGGAAGCAAAATTGCACCTGGTTTTCTTAATCAATCAGCTTTACCAATCCTGAAATCAGGGGAGACTAAGTCTACTCGGCCCAGGGCCCTCCTGGCCACCTGCCACACCATTTACATTTAAAGGAGTAGATCTCGGGCCATCTTTTGTCCTGAAAGGGAAGGTTGGCATGAACAGAGGACGAGTTTCAGCAGGTAGCTGGACTGAGAGGGAACACAGCATGTTAGGACCTGCTGTCTTTGAAATTGTAGTTCTTCATATAAAGAGTAAATCGAGGTGTTTAGGGGCTACACTGGAGAGGAATTCGGGCTGTACCTGCCCTTTGGGATGCACTTTTACCAAGCTTACAGTCAAAAAGCCATCAGTCTTTACAATAATGTGAGGTCATGTCATGTAATGACATCAAGTCTATTCTTAGCCAAAACTACAGGATAAGTTTAATATCATTACCGTAAAGAGACCCAAATTTAAATTCTGAACCCTGTCCTCCCAGCAAAATGTGTCCAAAAATTCCCTTCTCCCCCAGTATTGCCCCCAGCTTTCAGAAACATTCTTGTTCTTTCACATTAGGTGGAAAGTCATCTTGTGGGCTTCTGATACCTAGGCCGAGGGGCAGCGGGGCCTCTGGGTGATGGTTACATTACGTTCCTACCATTCAACCCAGCTCCTAAAAAAAATTATTGAGGGGAAAAAAAATCTTTGCCTTCTAAAGGTTGTATACCAAGTATGCTTAGATGTATAAGCTTCTTTCCTATTTCTTAAGTTTTCCTTTAAAGATGGAAGCTGTAATTGATACTATTTATTGTTGGTTTGTGGCCGCTTGAAGCATGCCACTGCCCATTATTTGTAAGTATAAAGTATGTGTGTTGGTTTCAGCAGCACTTAAAAAAGCCAGTGTCTGGTTACACATTTCAATGTTAATTAATCGAGAGGAAAATGTTACTGCCAGTGCCAGCTGTAGCCTATTTAATTAAAAAAGGTACTATATTTGTACGTTATTTTTTATGCAGAAAAGGGCTTTTTAAAGATTACTGTACACGTATTAAGTGATTTTTTAGGGATGCTTTTGTGTTGAAATGTTGTTATAGTGGCTGCAGGCAGCAACCCAGAAACACTTTAAAAAAGATTTTTTTTCCTTTGGTAAAATTCAAGCACTTCATTTCTTTTTTCCTTTCCTTTCCTTTTTTTTTTTTTTTTTGGTGGGGGGGGTGTAATTCCCACTTCTTAGACAAGTCTACCTTTTTTTTTTTTTTTTTTGGAAAGCCTCTTTTCCCTGCTTTAGTGCATGTGCTTTTTTTTGACAGGACCTTGAGTTTGCATTGGGAGATGTACTTGATTTTCAGTTTCAAGAAAGGGGGAGAAAAAGTCTTCCTATCTATTTAATCCTATGGAATCAAGTACCATTCAGATAGAGCAGGCCTGAAGGAGATGTGATTTCCTCAGGGCTAAAACAGCACAGTCCTGTAGGCAGTAGAAATGCTGGCATAGTCTACAGAGTGAACAACAAAGCCTAACCTACCATCGATCTCCGGATGTCCCAGTTGTCTCACAAATCTTACCTATGTCACAGATCCTAAACAAGTGCCGAAATTCTTCTTCCAAATTGACAGAATGTCATCTGACTAGTCCCTGTAGATTTTCAACAAACCAACTATCGTTTGCTCTTTAGTTATCTGCATTAGGCCAGCACCCTTTAAAATGTGCAGAGAAACATAAGCCATTAGACCCAGCAGAAGTGAGGAGAGGTGATGTATTTGCTGGTTCACAAGAGTTCATTCCCATCTCGATTGTGAAGGCCCGGTCCAGAATCTAGGTTAACTCAACTGACCACAAAACATCCTCAAAAGCAATAGTTATACCAACAATATTTGAGAAAACTATCAAGAAAAGACCAGTCTTCTGAACATTGAATTTGTTATTTTTAAATATAATTCATTTCGTTTTAACATTTTCTTTGTGAGAATTTTTAGATGTTTGTTTACTTCATGTTTACAAATAACGGTTTGCTTATTAGTGCAGTATGTTTAATTATATCAGCCAAAACCATACTTTACAGTAATTTTTTTAGGTATTATGAATGAAATTCCATTTTTTTGGATATGCTTTACCATTCTTGGTTGCTGATGGAACAAAAATATTTGTAGCATTATGTGTAAATACATGCTTTTTTTATTTTTATTTTTTCCCCAATTGTTGCGCTTTCCGTGCACATATTGTACAAATTCTGCTTTGTGCCACAGATCACAATTGTGGATGAGTTTACTTTTGACTTCAAAGGGACTATTTGTATTGTATGTTGCAACTGTAAATTGAATTGTTTGGCATTTTTCTCATGATTGTAATATTAATTTGATGTTTGGATTTAATTTTCAATAAAATGGCTTTTTTGTTTTGTTTTGTTACCTGTGTGTTTCAGACTTTTCTCTTTACCCTCTCTTCTAGTCTTTTTCAAGTATTTACTCCTACCTCTGCCTACACCTGGTTGAATATTTTCACATGGCCTTGCAACATACCAGGGCCCAAAGGAGAGTACAAATCTTGAATAACCAGTGAGAGAAGGAATTTGGGAAGGAGCTCTCTTCCTGTCTGGCCCCATGCCTGGAGACAGATGGGAGAAGAATCTACCCTTGAGTTTCATTTCCCTTTCATCTACTAGGAGAGACAGCTATGGTATAAGTGGGGTGAGCACTGAATTTGGAGTCAGAAGACTTGGGTTCTAATTCTGGCTGCTTCTTACTACTTGCATGACCTGTGGGCCTCCCTTTCCTCATCTATAAAAAAGAAGGGATGATATTAGATGATTTCTTTTTTTTTTTAGATGATTTCTAAGGATCCTTCCAGCTCTAACTCCTGTGGTCTTTGGCTTCCAACCTTGGATAAAGCTACTTATGGATTTTTTTGGTTGTCATTCAGTCATTTTCCACTCTTCATGACCCTTTTTGGGGTTTTCTTGGCAGAGATACTGGAGTGGTTTGCCATTTACTTCTCTAGCTCATTTTATAGATGAGGAAACTGAGGCAAAGAGGGTTAAGTGACTTGCCTAGGGTCACATAGCTAGTAAGTATCTGAGGCAGGATTTGAACTCAGGAAGATAAGTCTTCCTGACTTCATGTCCAGCACTCTATCTACTGCACCACCTAGCTACCTGTGGAATTAGCTCCATGTATAGGAAGCATCCTTAATCCTTATCAATATTCTCATGCCAGCAAATCAGCTGCTTACACCAAGTCAAACGGGTCTGGGGAAGAAGTGGACGCTTGGTGTTTGTTTCTGACCCCCCTCTCCCCATATTCTTTTTTTTTTTAAT